ACCATGCCTATACATCGTACCCGACAATTAGCAAGTAGCAAACAAGATTCAACCCCTATTCCCTCAAGCTAGGTTTAACCAAACACTTACCTCGATGCTTTGAACTCAACTCAAGCCTCAACTATAGCTTTACCCCATGATTCCACCTCCAATCCGCTCGAATCTAGTCACAAGTCACTTAATTACTTTAGTAAGCACTAAATGAATCAATTTGAATGCATAAAATGAATTTTCCAAAGTTTTTCCCAAAAATTCCAAAATCGCCCCCGGGCTCACGTTGTCAAAACCCGATGTTCGAACCAAAACCCGGTTACCCATTCCCCCACGAACTCAAATATGTAATTTGTTTTAAAATCAGACCTCAAATTGAGGTCCAAATCCACAATTTTTGAAAAACCTAGGTTCTACCCAAAACCCCGAATTTCACCCATGAAAATCATTGATTTTAAGTGAAAAACATGTTAAATAATGTTAATGATTGAAAGAAATGAGTAGAAATTAACTTACAATTGATTTGGCGAAGAAAGATTTCTTGGAAAATCGCCTATGGGTGTTTGAGTTTGAGAAAATGTGAAAAATGAAGTTCAAATTCGGTTAAGTATAAAATATGCTGGGCTGCGGATATGGGATTTGCAAAACAGGATTCGCAATTAGTATGGGAAATGCGATAAACATGTTCGCATTTGCGAACTCAGGCCAGATGGGAAGATATCGCATTTGCGAGAAAAGGTCTCGCATTTGCGAAGGCTGGACCTCCGCATTTCCGAGGAAAAGGCCGCATTTGCGATCAAGCTGCCCATGGAATTTGATTCCGGGCATACGCCCAAGTTTTATATTTTCCTACGGACCCTTCGGGACCGTCGAATTATGGGTCCGGATCCGTTTACCCAAAATATTGACCAAAGTCAAATTTATTCAATTTAATATCAAAATTTAGCATTTTTCTCACAGAATTCATATTTAAGCTTTCCGGCTACGCGCACGGATTGCGCATGCAAATCGAGGCAATCCCAAATGAGGTTTTCAAGGCCTCACAAGCACAGAATGAGTAAGGAAAGAAGTGATGACCCCTTTGGGTCGTCACATAAAGCATGTTTTTGGGTCCTAGACTACCCGGACTTAAGCATAATAGTAGCTACACACGGACTCTCGTCACTTCGTGCGTACGTAGTGATAACACAAAGGTTGGAAGATCCAAGAACTTGAAGAAAATAAGTTGATGAAATGCGGAAGTAGTATAGAAATTCAAGCGGATTAAGAAAAACAAGAAAAATAAATTAGATATGTCGAAATTCAAGGAAAGGTCCAAGAACCGCGAGATTATGTTAATCTAGATTTTGACAAGATCCTAATGACAACAAGTTGGTTATGAAACCAATTGCCTTCACTAGAGATAAGCTAATCAAGAACTAGGTTCGGATCTTGACTTCTAGTTTGAATAACTTACGACAACAACTAGTAAAAGAGACTAGTCGCCTTCGAAGTATATCAAAAGAAATCAAAGATATCACAAGAAAGAAAAATTATCTTACTACCTTAAGCTATCAACTAGTTAGGGTTGCAAGATAAATCTTCAAAGTAAAGTTCACAAAGGTTCAAAAGAACTCACAATAATAATATTAATCTTCAATAATCTCGTATAATGGAAGACAAGCATTCCTTTATATAGTAGTAAAGAAGGAGCTAGGCAAGACTTCAATAAATGAGAATTATATTCCCTAGAAGCATAGAAAACTACCCACACTAAGACCAATGTAGTCAACATACACATACACCAATGCAAGTCAACATAGATTAAAATAACTATTAAATATATATTCTAGAAACTATTTTTGGGCTTATTTGGGCTGCTGAAAATTCCTCTCTTTTGGGGCATATTTGGGCCTCATTCGATCTCCTCTTGGACTTTAATTTTGGCCTCAAAATAGTTGTAAGACTTGGCCCAAAGATCCTCCTTGTGCTGGAGCTCGTCTTCTATTATAAGACACTTTTTAATTGCCAATTGAAGCCCATTAAGCTTGTCTTGAAATTTCTTTGTTTGAGACCTTGTCATGGGCCTTCTTGGAGCTTCCAGAGCTTCATCCTTCTCCTTTAATGATGTTGAGCTGCCACGAATGCTATCATTCCCCTCTTCTTGAAGAGAATTCGTCCTCGAATTCGAGCCTGCATCAAACAAGGAAAGATCAGAAACATTGAAGGTAGCACTAACTTTATATTCACTAGGAAGGTCAAGTTTGTAAGAATTGTCTCCAATCCTTTCAAGGACTTCAAATGGCCCATCTCCTCTTGGATCTAATTTGGATCTTCGTTTGGCAGGAAATCTTTCCTTCCTAAAATGCACCCAAACTAAATCTCCAGGCTTAAAAATGACAGATTTTCGCCCCTTATTTCTTCTTAATGCAGTTTGTTCATTCTTCCGTTCAATTGCAAGTCTTGTATGTTCATGAATCTTCTTCATTATTTCAGCCTTATTCCTACCATCAAGATTGACAATGTCATTAGTAGTCAAAGGCAAAAAATCAAGGGGAGTGAGGGGATTGAATCCATAAACAACTTCAAAAGGAGACTTACCAGTAGAAGAGTGGAGAGTTCTATTATAGGCAAACTCCACCATGGGCAAATGTTCTTCCCAAGAAGTTAATTTTCCTTTTAAAACAGCTCTCAACATATTCCCTAAGTTCCTATTAACTACTTCAGTTTGCCCATCAGTTTGTGGGTGACAAGATGTAGAAAATAGCAATTTAGTTCCCAACTTCGCCCAAAGAACTCTCCAAAAGAGACTTAAAAATTTAGCATCCCTATCACTAACGATAGTTTTAGGTATGCCATGTAATTTAACCACTTCCTTCACAAATAAATCAGCTACATGTAACGCATCATTAGTCTTCAAGCATGGAATAAAACGAGCCATTTTTGAAAACCTATCTACCACCACAAATATACTATCCTTACCATACTTAGTTCTAGGAAGTCCTAACACAAAATCCATAGAAATATCAATCCAAGAAGAAGTAGGGACAGGTAAAGGAGTATAAAGACCATGTGGTAACACTTTTGATTTGGCTTGTTTACATTCAAGACATTGAGAGCACACTTTTTCAACATCCTTTCGCATGCCAGGCCAAAAAAAATGTTCAGCAAGTATATCCAGAGTTTTGGGCACTCCAAAGTGTCCCATGAGTCCACCACAATGTGCTTCCCTAACAAACAATTCACGCAAAGAGCAATTAGGAATACACAATTTATTTTCCTTAAAAAGGAACCCATCTTGAAGATTGAACCTCTCATAAGGACCCAACTTACATTCTGCAAAAGCCTTGCCAAAATCAGAATCATTAGAATAAAGTTCCTTGATTTGATCAAAACCCATCAATTTAGAAGTAAGAGAAGAAACCAAGACATACCTTCTTGAAAGTGCATCAGCAGCCACATTCTCTTTTCCTTGCTTGTAAGCAATCATATATGGGAAAGTTTCAATGAATTCAACCCATTTTGCATGGCGCCGATTAAGCTTACCTTGGCTTTTCAAATATCTCAAGGATTCATGATCAGTCTTAACCACAAACTCTCTTGGCCACAAATAATGTTGCCATGTAGCTAAAGCCCTTACCAAAACATATAGCTCTTTGTCATAAGTTGAGTAGTTCAGTGTAGTTCCACTCAGCTTTTCACTAAAGTATGCAATGGGCTTCGAGTCTTGCATCAAAACAACACCTATCCTTTTCCAGAGGCATCACATTCAACCTCAAAAGATTTAGAAAAAATCGGGTAATTGCAAAAGAGGAGCAGAACACAATATTCTTCAACAGTTAAAAGCATCATCTGTTCTTTTCCCATGAAAAAACCTTATCTTTCTTAACAACTTCAGTTAAAGGAGCAGCAATGGTGCTAAAGTCTCGCACGAATCTCCTATAAAAACTAGCAAGCCCGTGAAAACTCCTAACTTCAGTTACACTGTTAGGTTTAGGCCACTCTTTAATTGCCTTGATTTTCTCTTCATCAACTTCAACTCCCTTAGAACTAACCACAAAACCCAAGAATACCACACGATCCACACAAAAAGTACACTTTTTAAGATTAGCAAACAAGTGTTGCTTTCTGAGAACTTCAAAAACTTGTTTTAAGTGTTCCACATGCTCATCTAGATTTTTAGAATAAATCAAGATATCATCAAAATAAACTACCACAAATTTCCCATGAAAATCCTTAAAAATATGATTCATCAATCTCATGAAAGTGCTGGGTGCATTAGTCAAGCCAAAAGGCATAACTAACCACTCATAAAGCCCATATTTGGTCTTAAAAGCAGTTTTCCATTCATCTCCAGGATTCATTCGAATCTGATGGTAACCACTTTTTAGATCAATTTTAGAAAAGATTTTGGATCCATGCAATTGATCCAACATGTCATCAAGACGAGGAATAGGATGGCGATACTTTACCGTTATCTTGTTGATTGCTCTACAATCCACGCACATCCTCCAAGTTCCATCCTTTTTGGGTACCAATAGGACGGGAACGGAGCAAGGGCTCATGCTCTCTCTCACAAAACCTTTCTCAAGCAACTCCTCAACTTGCCTTTGAAGCTCTTTTGTCTCTTCTGGATTACTCCTATAAGCAGGCCTATTTGGAATTTGTGCTCCAAGCACAAAGTCAATTTGGTGCTCAATGCCACGCAAAGGTGTTACACCTTTAGGGATATCCTCAGGGAAGATATCATCAAAATCCTGCAAAAGAGAAGAAACACTACTTGGCAAAGAAGAAGTTAGTGACTCAGAATTAATCAAAACTTCTTTGTAAGTAAGTAGTATAATAGGCAGCCCCTCTTTCCTTGCATTCAAACACTCTTTGGCTTTTATGTACAAACTCTCCTTTTTCTTTTTCTCTACCTCTTTCCGCTCACCAAAACTTTCTTTTTTATCACTCAAACCCTCTTTTACCACTTTGCCCAAGTTGCTGCCCTCTGTCTCTCTCTCTCTCTTGGCCATCTCTCTTTTTTTCTACCTCTTGGCCTTCTTTCTTTTCTTTTCCCTCAAGCTCATTTTTTTTCCTGCCCTTTGTTTTCCCATTATTTCTCTCAATCTCTTTTGATCCTCAAACACTTGAGAAGGACTTAAAGGTGCAAGAGTATACTTCTTGCCATTAAGCTCAAGAGAATATCTATTCTTTCTTCCATCATGAAAAACATTCCTATCATATTGCCATGAATGACCTAACAAGATGTGACAAGCTTGCATAGGAACCACATCACAAAGAACATCATCCACATACCTACCAACATTGAAGGAAATCATGCATTGTTTGTTGACTTTCAGTTCACCACTATCATTCAACCATTGGAGTCTATAGGGCTTAGGGTGTTTCATGCATGCAAGTTCTAACATGTTCACCAAGTGTGAACTCACCACATTAGCACAACTACCACTATCAATAATCATAGAACAAGTTTTCCCCTTTATTCCACACCTAGTATGAAATATATTCTCTCTTTGTTCTTCACTACTGATTCCTAAATTAATAGTCATAATCCTCCTAACTACCCCAACCAAACCATCATTGAAAGGTAACTCTACATCATCTTCACTCACACCTTCCTCTTCTTCCTCTTCCTCACTTTTTTCTCCCTCATATTCTCCATCTATAGTCCTCCTAATTACCCCAACCAAACCATCATTAGGAAGTTCTACATCATCTTCACTTACTCCTCTCTCTTCTTCCTCACTTTTTTCACTCTCATATCCTCCATCTTCTCTCAACAGAATATTTCTTCTATTTGGACATTCATGCATCATATGGCCTCTTCCATGACATTTATGACATTGAATGGAACTAGAAGGTTTAGAGGATCTAGAATTGAAAGCTTTACTTCCCTCTTTCTCATCAACTTTACCTTTCCCCTTGTCTTCTTGAGGTCTAGAAATCACTTCTTGTTTTGGCCATGGCTTCTTGGAATTGGTGTTTGGCCGACTTCTCCATGAGCTAGCTTGCTGCCTTCTTTTATTTTGCTTTTCTATTTTTACAGCCAAATTTACTAATTCATCTATAGTTACATATTGTTGTATCTCTACTACATCAGCTATTTCTCTATTTAAACCATTAAAAAATCTAGCCATAGTGGCCTCTTCTTCTTCCATACAATTAGCTTGGATCATAGAAATATCCTTAGCTTTAAAGTATTCATCAACAGTCATGGTTCCTTGCTTCAAGGTTTGAAGACGCAGTTGCAGGTCTCTTTGAAAGTGGGAAGGCACAAACCTCTTCCTCATGGCTCTCTTCATCTCGGTCCAAGTAGCAATGGATGGTTCTCCATCTTGTTGTCTGTCTCTTGTAAGCTTTTTTCACCAAATAGAAGCATAATCAAAAAATTCAACAACAACAAGCTTAACCTTCTTACCTTCAGAGTAGTGGTGACAGTCAAAGATGGCCTCAACTTTCCGCTCCCAGTCAAGGTACAAGTCTGGGTCTCTTGTGCCCTTGAAAGATGGCATCTTCATTTTTATGCTGCTAATATTATCATCTTCTACTCTACCTCGTTGTCCCCTCCTATCTCTTCCCACCCTATCTAGATTTACATCAAGATCATCAACAAAATCATCTATAGGGTTTTGTTGATTTACAATGGGGGCATGGGGTACATTTCTTCTATTAAGAGGCCTAGGATTATTTCGAGGTTGTACATCAGGTTGATTTCCCCTCCTAAGTGCAGCTATTGTCTCATTTTGTTCGACAATAGTATCCCTTATCTCTTGGAATTGCAAGTTCCATCCCTCGAATTGTTGATGCATAGCTTGTAGAGTGAAATCATTTCTTGCTCGGATTTCGGCTTCTTGGAGAGTCCTCTGTTTATCATCACTAGCACCTGTATGAGACATCTTTTTAAAATAATAATAATAATAGTTATCACTCAAACTTTGGCTCTTTCCCTCAATTGTTCTCACCCACTCTTGCCTTTTTCCCCTCAATTAACCTTTGGAAAATACCTTGTAGATTTATAATTAAGCCCAACTCGTATCAAAGCCCTTAGTAGTAAAACAAGGAAATTTGGGGCACTAAAGAAAGTGAAGAACTAATCCTAGAAAGAGTAGGATTTAGTTAAAACAAACCTCGAACAAAGAAAAGGATTTTTTTAGAACAAGATCAAAGGATTAGAAAAATTGATTTTTTTTATTCTTAAAGATCTAGGATCCCCTCTTCTTGTTTCCTTTCTTGATTTTGGAAACAAACACAAATACAATCTGATTTCTTGAAGAGCAAATATGTTTCTCACTTTTTTTTTGTTCAAGAAATCCCCAAGATTTATCAAGAACGGAATCTTGATACAACCGCTCTGATACAACACAAAGGTTGGGAGATCCAAGAACTTGAAGAAAATAAGTTGATGAAATGCGGAAGTAGTAAAGAAATGCAAGCGGATTAAGAAAAGCAAGAAAAATAAACTAGATATGTCGAAATTCAAGGAAAGGTCCAAGAACCCGAGATTATGTTAATCTAGATTTTGACAAGATCCTAATGACAACAAGTTGGTTATGAAACCAATTTCCTTCACTAGAGATAAGCTAATCAAGAACTAGATTCGGATCTTGACTTCTAGTTTGAATAACTTACGACAACAACTAGTAAAAGAGACTGGTCGCCTTCGAAGAATATCAAAAGAAACCAAAGATATCACAAGAAAGAAAAATTATCTTACTACCTTAAGCTATGAACTAGTTAGGGTTGCAAGATAAATCTTCAAAGTAAAGTTCACAAAGGTTCAAAGAACTCACAATAATAATATTAATCTTCAATAATCTCTTACAATGGAAGACAAGCACCCCTTTATATAGTAGTAAAGAAGGAGCTAGTCAAGACTTCAATAAATGAGAATTATATTCCCTAGAAGCATAGAAGACTACCCACACTAAGACCAATGTAGTCAACATACACATACACCAATGCAAGTCAACATAGATTAAAACAACTATTAAATATATATTTTAGAAACTATTTTTGGGCTTATTTGGGCTGCTGAAAATTCCTCTCTTTTGGGGCATATTTGGGCCTTATTCCATCTCCCCTTGGACTTTAGTTTGGGCCTCAAAATAGTTGTAAGACTTGGCCCAAAGATCCTCCTTGTGCTGGAGCTCTTCTTCTATTATAAGACACTTTTTAATTGCCAATTGAAGCCCATTAAGCTTGTTTTGAAATTTCTTTGTTTGAGACCTTGTCATGGGCCTTCTTGGAGCTTCTCCAGAGCTTCATCCTTCTCTTTTAATGATGTTGAGTTGCCATAAATGCTATCACGTAGCCCCCACATATAGAAGCACATATCCGCCACCTATGGGGACAATTCCCTCTTACAAGATTAGAAAGGAGACTCACCTCACTCCGAAGTTCCAAAACCGACTTCCAAGCCCTTCTAACGACTCAAATCGATGCACAACGCTCCAAAACTAGCCAATAAATGAGAAAATCCATAAATATATACTCTAATACTCACAACAATTCAATTTAGATAAATTCCTAACTCCGTTCGAAAAGTTGACAAAATCGCCCTCGGGCCCACGTGTCCGGATTCCGAAAAACTCATAAAATCCGACAACCCGTTCTGATACGAGTTCAACCATACCAATTTTACCAAATTCCGATAACAACTTGACCTCCAAATCTTGAATTTTCGTTCTTGTAAAGCTTTGAAAAAATCTTGTTTCTTCCATTTAAATCCGAAATAAATGATGAATATAACCATAGAATCATGATGTATAATTACTTTCGGACATAGAACACTTACCCCAATCCATATGATGAAAATCGCCTATAAAATCGCTTCAATCCGAGCTCCATAGCTCCAAATATGTTAAAAATGGCTGAAACCACGAAATATAACTTCTGCCCAGGTATTTACTCTTCACGATCGCGGAAAATGATTCGCAATCGCGAAGCACAACATTTATCAGCCCAAAATTTGCCCTTCGCGATCGCGAAGAACAAATGCCCAGCTCTTCCAGACAGTCTCTAGTATAATAGCCATAACTTTTTGTACAAAACTCCAAATTGCAAATGGTTTAACTTTTTGAAAACTAGACTCCAAGGAATACAATTTTCATGCTTTTCTCATCTCACGGATCCTTATAGATTACAAGATATAAGCTTCCAAAGTTAGTCTTATGCAACATAAATTTCTTCTTCGCAATTTCCAAACTCTTCCCGAATAGGCTGTAGTGTACCACTTATAACTTTTTTTACACAGCTCCAAATACCAAATGGTTTAATTTTCTGAAATCTAGACATAAAGGGCTACAACTTTCATTTTTAGATCATCTCCAAATTCCTTATAGATTGCGAGATACAAGCTTCCAAATTCGGGTCAGTGCAACAAAAACTTTCCTCTACGCGATCGCGGAAGGCCTTCCGCGATCGCGAATCACTGGTCATTTTCTCCCACTTTACTCATCGCTATCGCGACCAATACCCCGCGATCGCGTAGCATACTGCTGTAACCAAAAACCAGCAGCTAAAAATGGCCTAGAAATAATCCGAAATCACCCCGAAACTCACCCGAGCCCCTCGGGACCCCGTCCGAACATACTGACAAGTCTCAAAACGTATTACGAACTTAGTCGAGGCCTCAAATCACATCAAACAACGCTAAAAACACGAATCACACTCCAATTCGAGTCTAATGAAACTAAGAAATTCCAATTTCTACATTCGATGCCGAAACCTATCAAATCACGTCTGATTGACATTAAATTTTGCACACAAATCACATTCGATATTACGGACCTACTCCAACTTCCGAAATTGGATTCCGACCCCGATATCAAAAAGTCCACTTCCGGTCAAACTCCTCAAAAACTTTCAAATTTCTATCTTTAGCCAAATGACTCCAAAATGACCCACGGACCTCCGAATTCACTTCTGATCACGCTCCCAACACCAGAATCGCCATACGGAGCTATTCCCAGATTCGGAATCCCAAACGGACATTGATAACACTGGAATGCTCTTAAACCAAAACTCATGAAATTCTTCCAAAAATGCTAACTTCCACAATAGGTGCCGAAACGTTCCCGGGTCTTCCAAAACCCAATCCGGACATAAGCCCAAGTCCGAAATCATCATACGAACCTAGCTGGAACCTTCGAATCCCGATTCCGAGGTCGTTTACTCTAAAAATCTAATCTTTCAACTTTAAAGCTTCTGAAATGAGAATTCTCTTTCCAAATCAACTCCGAACTTCCCGAAATTCAATTCCGACAATACATACAAGTCATAATACCTGAAGTGAAGCTGCTCATGGCCTCAAACTGCTGAACGTCGCGCTAGAGCTCAAAACAGCCGGTCGGGTCGTTACATATGGTGTGTTTGGTATGAAGACATTTTCCCATGTTTGGTTGGCTTAAATGTTTTGGAAAACATTTTCCTTATGAACTCATTTTCCTCCAATTGGACGAAAATATTTTCCTTATCAAGAGAAAGAAAAACATTTTCCAAAACTCTTTCTCAACCTTCCCAATCCTCATCAACTCACCCCTCCCCCTTACTCCAAAAAAAGTTTATTTTATTTTTTTTTTTCAAATTTCAGTTTTTACGTTACCACCCACCCTACTACCCCTCTACCTCACCCCCTCACGCAAAAAAATTATTTTTTTATTGCAATTTCAAATTTCTGTTTTTTCGTTTTTCTGCACCACTCACACCTCAACTGCCCCCGCACAAAAAAAAAAATTTTACCTTTTTTTTTTGGTAATTTCATATTCTATTTTTTTCGTTTTTCTGCCCCCACCCCCCGAAAAAAATATTTTTTAATATATTTTTCAGTTTTATTTTTTTTATTTACCCGTTTAAAGGTTCAAAATTTTACAAGTTCTAAATTTATGAGTTCGGAAGTTTATGTGTTTGGAATTTTACGGGTTTAAAAATTATAAAGTTTACGGGTTAAAAATTCCGCGGTTTCGAAAGTTTATAGCGGTTCGTAAAGCTTATGAAAAATGTGAGGGTGAAGGTTGTTGGTTTGGAAGTTTACGGCTTCATGTTATTATATCTAAATTATTATTGAATACTCGAGAAGCATTATTTCTAATTTGCGTGCCAAATCACCGAAAAATGAATAAGATTACTACTTTTTTTCCAAGAAAAATATTTTCCTTGGAAAATATTTTCCACGGAAAACATTTTTTCGTTATACCAAGCACACCCCTATTGTCCTTGTAACTTTTGAGCTTGTTAGCTAAGTTCAGGACTCAGGATCTATTGTCCTTGAACTTTTGAACTGTAACTGTAAGTTCAGAGGAGCCTATTGTCCTTAACTTTTGGCTTGTTAGTCTAAGTTTCAGGACCAAGTGTTCTTAAGTTTGAGCTTGGGAACTCGAAGTTCAGGACCAAGTGTCTTTAACTTTTGAACTTATAACTGTAAGTTCAGGATCCATAAGCGTAGCAGAAAACCAAATTATTTGTACTTTCCACAAAAAAAATAAAAATAGTAATAATTGCAATTTTACATATAATATAAATCGTCAAATTTTACAACAGAAAGCTAATAACAAAAGAAATAACTAAAAAAATGAAAGACTACAGAACCTAACCAATCAAAAGAAAAAGAAAAAAAAAATAACGGCTTCTAAGATCACATTCGTAGTCCCCCTTTTTTTAAAAAAAAATGGATATCACGGCTAAGAATGTGATCTTAGAAGTATTATTGGTCACTAGTTTTAGAAGTATTATTGGAAAAAAAGGACTAAGATAGTGATCTATGGTCCGATTCATCGTGTTCTGACTGCAGTGTGCGCGACAAGAGGTGAGTTTGTATTATTGGTTACTGGTTTTCCTTCCAGCATTGTTCTCTCCCTAACATGAAAGAGGTAGAAGAAAGGAATAACACAGTCTTTTC